CATTCCCAAAAAAACGCGATTTTAAAAGTTGAAGGAGTCACGTTCTACATGATAAGCACATACAGGGTAGGAAAGTACCGATGGTCTATCTGAAGTTACGTGAGAGCGATAAAGTAAGCCATAGAAATCCATACGATAGAGAAGGATGGCTATAATGAAGGCATTTCTTTGTCACCGCCCGTTTCGCCCTTCCACAAATAAGATCCACTTCTTATTTGTGGAAGGGCGAAATGGGCGTTGACTATTAGACGCCTTCATTATAGCCATCCTTGTCTATCACATGGATTTCTATGGCTTACTTTATCGCTCTCACGTAACTTCTGATAGACCATCGGTACTTTCCTACACTGTATATGCAACGTACATACATAGTCAGGCACTTAATACAAGTAAAAATGCCTATTTGTCTCTCTTATATGTATAAACTATACTATTCTAAGAATATACACTAAAGAAACAAGTACAACCATCTTGTCTTCCTCCAGCATCGGCTAATCAACACTTGTATCGAGTATATAATCAAGTTCAGACATGGCTAGGCAATCAACTGAACTCAGAAGACTGGGGTTGGAAATTAACAGATAATACTTTGGAATCGATTCAAACTTTACTCCCATCTGCTCCGGAAAAACACCTAAACACTATTTTTTGCAATTGTAAGGTTGTAGTGCTAAATGTGGCTGTAGAAGAGTAGGGTTACTGTGTTCTCCAGCGTGTACTAATTGCCAAAGCCAGCCTTGCTCAAATGTCCAATTGAATACAACAGATGAAGATTCATGTGATTTCGATGAAGAGACAGCTGATTCATCTTCATTTCAACAATTTATGAACATCCAGCAAGAAGAAGAGAAAGAAAAAGAAGAAATGGAAGAGGACATGACTGTTGAAGTCGAATTTGAAGAGTATGAATTAGATTAAAATATCAAAAGAAATCAGAACTACAGTTAAAGTCAATAACCAATATCAATAATCCTCATGCAGTTAAAAGAGTATTGTCCCTATAAAAATTCCGTCATAACAGTTCGTGGAGTAGGCCTACCCGGGAAACCACGTTAAAAAACGCGCCAAAGTACACTACCTCACACGAGGTGTGGAAATGTGTGCCTATCATGTAAAACGTGACTTCTTCAACTATTAGAATCTCAGGAATGGTGATTCTTAAAAAAAAAGTATAAGGATCATTTTTGTAGATAATTTTAAGATCTGGGCTACTTTTTTGATAAAACTTACCGTTTTCGAAAAAAATCCAAAAAACCTCAAATTTTAACCTTTGACCCCGAATAACTTTTTTAGCACACGATGGTGACATTTGACACTTTATTTCTAATGGTGTACCCGAGGTCTCCACCAAAATTTAGCTCTGTCGGAATTTTCGTTATTTGAAATGTCTATTTTGACCGGACTGGTTAGCGACAATCCATTCCGCATCAAAGATTCCTTACATTAGAATTGATATTGCAAATTAAAACACTGTGGTACGTCGTACGGTACTATTATTACTTGCAAATGTTCAAAATGATAATGATGACATCAACTATCGCCCAAATAAAAAGCGAATGACTCTGGACAAGGTCTCATAAATATTAACCTACCTGGCGAGCATTAGAAACGAACAAAAAAAGTTGCATGTCCTCCGGCTATCTGGTGCTCGATTATATGAAATTATGGTTCCACGGAGGACCGTAACTTAGGTTATAATGGGTTAGGTCGATGGTAGAAGTAAGGTAAGAGTTAAGTGTAATGAATCGAGAATGAAAATACAAGTGATAGATATAGATGAATGCAGCTATCCCAATCCAAAATACATAAATACTACACAATGCAAAAAACTGGTTCGACGTTCTTATACATGATGACCGCTGAGGTATCCGAGTATATGAATTCTATGACTAATTTTAAGCAAAAATTCAATTCACTTTTCCCGAATTTCCAACAGTTCTGAAATATCGAGGTTTGAAGTTGTCAGATTGTATGGGTAGTTGCTAAAAAGTAAATTACATTGTTGAGAAGTATTTCGGATACCTCGGCTGCCAGTCTGTATACATGTGGCGAGTAATAATCTCTTTCTAGTGATTGCATTATTGGTATAACATAAACATAATGAAAATTATCTAAGAACATAGCCAGCCAGAGTAAGAGAAAGATAACAGTCGCGGAATGTTCCTACTTTCAAATGTCAAAGTTTCATTATTTTATAGGCGAGAAATGGATTTTGAAACAAAAATGAAGCAACAGAAAGGTGAACGCTTAAAACTTTCTAACGGCCGAGCGACAGTCTAATTTATTATTCTCCATGTCGTTAAATAATTTGTTCCGCATTTTCAACCCTGGTATATATACGGGTATACATTAACGTATATTTGGCTGACTTGCTTTCAGGAACAAATACAAAACAAATATTTGATAATGGACAATTTCGACTCGAAATATTGTTCGTTTCACAAATAATTCGCGACAAGCCGCTGGTAACTGGCACAGAGTGGTATCCCGCGCATATTTATAAATTGCCGTTTCTCCGCTAAACGAATTTTTAAATTATCATTGGAGCTTGTCGATGAGCCAAAATCCATCAGCGATTTCGTTTACTAATTCATCTCACCTTGGAAAATGTCGACATAGCCGAAAAAACGTGTATATCTAAATCTCCTGTTGCGCGATAACCTTGCCCGAAAGATTAATTTTTGCAGACACATTTACGGAGCTCTTAATTTACTTTTTCTGCTCTTAAATTACAGGAAATCGTAAAATAAACAGATAGCTAATTACCTCGCAACCCAATATGATCTAATACTTGGCAAGATAATAGCAAAACGTCGATTACTACTATCCGTAAGTATAATAGTTATTCAAATATTTGTTGCGACAAAAAGATAAGTAAAAACAACGTAGTTTCATAGAAATCCAAGCTATAGCGATATTTTTGGTTTATTATGTATATTATTGATACACTTGAAAATACAATAAAACTAATCAAATAAAATACCATTTTAAAGTGCCATATTAAATTGAAGTACATACATATTTCTTTTCCCAATGAGAAAATAGTAAAATTTTACTTTAATGAATTTATTTTTCACCGATTTCAGTTTCTTTGCAATTCAATACGTTGTCAACACTATTTGTGAATTATGTTGCAGTACTAGTTTTATGCCGTTTTAAAAAACGTATGTGAACATCAGTTTATAATTTCGGTTATTTTTCAAAATTGCCTTCAAATTTTAAGTAATTTATAGAAATTGCACTGATGATTAATTTAAGTTGAAAGTGGTCAGACTAATGTTAAAAAATTTAAAGTAAATTGAATACCATTCATATACTCTCTTTTATCTTCTTTTGTTGATATCCAGAAGCGTGTACTCAAGAATACTAGTCACTAAAAAAAAATATCTCAAATACTGTGTGCAACAATTCACTTCCTAATAAATTAATTTACCACAATAATTTATTATCGTTCTGAAGCATAACAAATAAAATTGTTATCTCCGTGAAGTCAACTCTATAATGATGCTATAATTATATCTACAGGGTGATTCAAAATTCAGGACAAAGAATTTAGGGGCGTATTTTTGAGATAAAAATAAGACTTTTTTCCTATTAACGTGGGCCTACAAATGCGTGTTAAAGTTTTTTATTTTTTTCAATTTTAAGAATAATTTCCAAACTTTAAATGTTGGCATAAAACTTGGGGTACGATCGAATTAAACTGACCCCAACTTTTTTGCTACCCCGTACATTGACGTTTCGTATTAGTGCGTTTATTTCCGAGATACTTATTGGCTGATGAAGAGTTAAATGCACATCATGTGGACCCACGTTTATGGGGAAAAAAGTCTTATTTTGACCTCAAAAATACAGCCCTAAATCCTTTGTAGTGAATTTTGAATCAGCCTGTACGACTTTTAATCATGTGAATTCCATCAATGTTCAGGGCTTCCGCAAGGGTCAATCCTGGATCCACTGCTGTTTGTTATTTTTATTAAAGATCCAACTGAATGCTTCGATGTCGACATTTGTTTCATTCGTCTGTTATTGTTTGTGTTCAAGTTCTTGTGCGTCTCGATTTTATATTTTGATTGCTCTGTCCGGTAGTACTTGGATATTGTATACGAAATAAACGATAATGGAGCTCCGGTAAATATACCCTCATTATCTCGATACGTTCTTGATTTACGACATTCAAATACACGGAACAATTTACAGTTACAGTGACTCATTATTACAATTTCCCTTTATCTCTCTTCAACTTGGCGACGGGCGTTCGTTGGCCCGCTTACTCTTTCTCTGACATTTCGGGAATTCCGAGGCAGTTACAGTTAAAATAGCTGAAAGGTTTCGCTCTTGAAACGGCACGAATACAGTAGCGTTCTTCTAGGTACGCTAGCTGCAAATACGTTCGACTTTGGCTGCGACGCAGCGAAGATGCGCCCGCTATTACGATTTCGAATCTGGAGAGTATCGAGGTCAATTGATCGCCATACAACAACATTTGAGTTATTCGCGACGTATTAGGCACGATCTGTAAAACATCCAAGTCTTCCTCGGTACACTCTTTGGGATTCCGCAAAAAAACATTTAACGGAGCGAATATTTTAACTGCAACGATGCTAATTGGAAATATGTAGAGCAGACGTGAAGGTCGTTTTTTTAAAACTAAATGGGAGAAGGTTAATACCGACACTTGCTCAATGAATAAAAATTCATTTGGTGGAACCAACAGTTAAGTTCACTTCAGAAATAGGGATAAATAATACCTTACCCTTTCTAGATAATTTAATTTAAAAAAAACTGTTAATAGGGAAAGAAGGCATCTAAATTTTGATTCTAATAATCTCATACTGATATAAAAAAATTAATCAAACGTTTGTTGATAGACCCAAATCGATTTCTTGGAAAGATAAAATACTTAAAAAAGGGTAGGATACATTTTGTTTCAGTCTCACTCTGTGTAGAGTAAGACAGCGCGTGTCAAGGTTACTGAACGAAATAACAAGGCTACTTACCCCCTGTTCCTAGGACCTTCAGCAGGTCGAAGTGGGACATATCCACCCTCCCGACGCCTGAGAGGTTTACTAAAAACAAAACAACAGAAACATTAATACAAAGCCTCCTAAATCAAAAATAAAAATCGGTCCACCGATTGATAAGAATAATTTAGATTCAATTTATGATCTGTACAAGGCTACGATGCGTATGCAATGTTACTAAGGCAGAGCCCCTTTGAAAATGTTAAGCTGTTGAGCCAAACATACTTTTACGTTTACGTAATCGCAGTGATTTCCTGTGTCCTAAGCGCTACATTTCGACGTAGTTATCTTCGAAACTAATACAGGTAATCGTTCATTTACAGGTGAACACATTAAAAAAAAATAGTGGCTATCATATCCCAATTAGCGCTGGTACTTAAACGAGTTCAGTGGCTTCTTATAGTTTGAATGACCCAATCGATAAATCAACGATTTACGGTTAATTTATACATGTTTACAATGTAACTGCGCGTTTTGAGAGAAGTTTGTTGTCGTCATTTAGAGGTGAATAAAGTTTTGGGCAGAGTTTAGACGCTGTCTGGTGATGGGATAATGCCAAAGTCTGGGCGAATCAGTGGAAAATGAAGGAGAGAAGGAAAAAACATAGACGTCTGTACCGGGGCAGACTTGAGTGCGCAAAAACCAAGGACGACGCTTCGTATTACGGTTCAACAGAAGGATGAATCGATTCAAAGATAGATTTAAAATACGTACGACACAAAAACTATTAATAAGATTTTCAGTTTTATTTCATTTGGTTCCCATGTCTGTATATCTACAGGGTGGTTAAGGTATCATGCAAAACGCCACCTGTAAAATTTCAGGCCAGTTCGAGCTTATTAATTCTATTTTTTGTCAACTTGATTTGAACAGTTTGATACTCATTTTGGGAAATGATCCTATTTGATTAAAAAAAAAATCTGTAACGTGTCTTTTTTTTATGAACAAAAATAAGTATTTCCTATATAAGACGTAAAAAAAAACATTAGGAAAAGTTGTTCAGAATTTAAATTTATTCATATGTTCAAATTCGGAAGATCATTGATTTATGTAAATTTCTCCATCCTGTGAAGGCAAAATTCTCTACTTGTGTAAGAGACTGGGAAACATTTCATTAGAAGAAAAATTATATTAGTCCCAAATTTAGTGGTAATTTTTAAAATAAAAAAAAAATATGAAATTGGTACATGATAATAATTTTTAAATGTAAATTACTTTTCTCAATAAAATGTTATTATTATCGACAGAACTTCTCCCCTTGGAGAACTTCTGCCGACGCCCATGCCCTGCGTCATTCGCCTTCATCTAAACCAGCTCCGTACGCTCCCGCAGACGATCCCCAGGTGGCACACGGAGGGGCGTGCGTCGCTCTTTTTTTCCCCGACGAGTTTGAGTTTGGGTTTAACGACACGATCCCAGACCCCAATTTTTTTTTAACGTCTGGCACGCCGATTGGGTCGCGCTGCGTGAAAACACTTTGTCCCTTTTTCCAGCTCTATGTAATGGTGCCGTGACATTTTTTCCACGGGCGGTACTGGAATGGGCTCTATCGGATGATGCGAGAACGACCTTTTTTATGGTTCGCTTGAATCGAAACCGACAGGGACGGGTCAACAAAAGACGCGGTTTTGAAAAAAAAAGATGATAAAATATGACTGTGTATACGTTATGGGCAACGTGATTATTTCAGCGCTATGTATAATAGTGATCAGGTACTCCGCCCAAATGGCTAGAACAGGGTGTAAATAAATGAAAATTCAGGGGGTGATTCCCTGTCGATAAATACTTTGTTGATTTACCCTACGGTTTTAAGGCAAGGTTGGCAAATATCATGATATTTATATAAATATCAAATATCGGATATATATCTTGATATATATTAAGTCTTGATATTTATTTTTTTTAATTAATTAGTTTATGTATAATATTATAGTAGCGAAATAAAATTAAGAAACTATTTAGGTAAAAATTTTTATTCTAAATATCAAAAACAAGAACGAAAAAATAAATATAAATTCTGAAACTAATAAAAGATATTTGCGTGAATATTAAGTACTACGAAAACTAACCAATATACACCAAGTCAACATAAATTTCATAAATATTAAAACAAATACGAACACACAGCACCTGCTCGAATTGACTAACACCTGGAGAAATAATGAAACAAAATGTGTTTTAATTTAATTGTCAACGCAAAGGAAATAAAGCAAAATTACTGGTTACTATGTACAGGGTCTCTCATAATTAGTGTCCAATAATTTACCATTTGATTCTATTGCCAAAAATAAGAACATTTTTTCATATAAACATGGGACCTAAGGGAGCTACGCCCCCCTAAATGGGGCTTAAAAAAATTTCAATTTTATTAAATATTTCCGAAATGGCTCGAAGGAAGATTATGAATTTTCACATCGTGAGCGCTCATTAAAAGTCGAAATAGATCATACAATTTTTGAAAAGTTTTAATCAGGGTCGTCTCAACTGGGGGGTCGTCTACTAAAATTTGCCCCAATTTTTTGCTTGTCGAAATTTTCCAATTCAAATGCCAACATATGATAGACCCTCATTTCCTCTACAAAAAAGTTACTCTTTATTTCTTTCGATAAAATCCGAGAAAAATGGATCTACGAGTTTCATTGCATACATTAAAATTAAAAAAAAATCTTGAATAGTTAAATGGGTACATGTACCATTATGAATTTTGATGTCATCATGTCATTATACATTGTAATAAACAAGTGAAAAGTTCTTAGAAAAGTTTGTTATGGGCGTCCCAAGCAGGGGGGGTCTTGGGCGAAATTTGCCCCAAATTTTTTTACGTGCTGCAATTTTCTAATTTAAACAGTAAAATTTGATGGATCTGAGTTTTCTATTAAAAATGGTAATGGTATTTTATATCGAAAAGGTAATCCGATTTCGAGACAAATCGGTTTAAATATGTTTTAACACTTTCCTAAGCACTTAAATTCGTTTCTCTTGGAAATGGAGCATTTTATCGAAAGAAATAAAGAGTACCTTTTTTGAAAAGGAAATGAAGGTCTATAATATGTTGGCCTCTAAATTTGAAAATTTCGACAAGCAAAAAAATTGGGGCAATTTTTAACCGATGACTGCCCCTAGTTGAGACGCCCCTGATCAAAATTTTTGAAAAATTTTATGATGATCTATTTCGACTTTTAATGAGCGTTTTCAAGGTGTAAAAATTCATAATTTCCTTCAACCCATCTTGGAAGTATTTAAAAAAAAAATGAATTTTTTGAGACCCCATATTGTCTAATGGGGGCGTAGCTCCCTTAGGAAGCATTTCTCGACCAATGTTTATAAGAAAAAATATTCTTATTGGCAATAGAATCAAGTAGTAAATTATTGGACACTAATCATGAGACACCCTGTATACTCGCGCCAATATCCTTGGCAGGAAAAATGACCTCGGATGGAGCGGGGTCGAGCGGGATTATCGCTCTTTACCCACTTCATCGCTGTAGGCCCGGACGCCTCGTAGAGGTAGGACCCTGTATACTCAATTATGAGACTGTAAATCTCTGCACATTAAACTACTATCAGTGAGATATACGTAAAAGTAGGCATCTAAGGGAGATCTGGACTGGATCCCCATGACTCGCGCGCTATTGTTTGGGGGTTGAGGCTCCAGACTTGTCCGTCGCAAGCTCTGTACCCAGAACACAAACATATTCTTGGTAATCGCCCTACCACGCGAGCCATACGAACGGGCACGGAATTAGACCGCGCGCCTATTACTTTTGCCCCGGCAAGGCCGCCAACAGGTTATTTTTAGCGCTCCCCTGCGTATATTTGGATTCCGATAAAACTACCTTACGATTCCCGAGTTACAAAAATACGGGCGGCCGCGAAGGACGCGGCACCGCCAACCCTGATCTGCGTTACTACGCGTAAACAAATAAACGGATTTCATTTTTTTTCCGTCCGTTTTCTTGGTCGGGTCAAAATCTTACCTCGTGAGCGTCTTAAAATATTTATGGCAATAAATTATGGACGACGTCAAGACAGTCGGTTCGAGGTTGTTCAAGGTAGACCGTAGACCTAGGACGGGGATCGATTATGTCCGTCAAGAATGTGGAACGCACACCCGCACAGCTGTTAAAAATGTGCAAGGAAAAGGGAACGGCATACGTACAGCTATACCGGAACGGATTTTATGCATTGTTTCTAGGCTATATATTTTTTTAATTATATTCATGCAGTTACAGTTCTTTATCGTTTATTTACTTCATTAAATATGACCGGGACAGTCATTGCCATTATGTCATCTACTATCAGATACGTTTTTCAATACTAAACAACTAATATTAGGGTCATGTTTAGCTTAAGTTTAATATCACTTTATTTTTCTCTATACACCACCACAACGAGATGGGGGTTTTGCAAGAAGACCAATTTTCCAGTTTCAATACGGACACCACTGCAAGGATCCTTGCGGATCCCGCCCCAACCGTGTTCGAACGTCAGCTCGAGTATAGTCTTTCCGAAGTCAATTGAACATGTATAAAAACGCCTAGCAATAAAATTTAATGAGTTTCATGGGCGTCCCTAAAAATGTTTTCTGCTAATGGTAAAAAATAATAAAAATTTGTATACAATGTGTAGAAAATTTCTATTATACATATGTTCATTTGATCAACAACATATTTTAATTGTTTATGTCCTCCAACAATTTTATTATATTGATGGTAAATTTCGTAAAAGTCTCCAAAATGCCATGTTATATAATATTAGTCAACAAAATATCCCTCTTATTTCTCCCTTTGGCAATGGTAATATGAAAATTACCTGAATCACGCCAAATTCCGCATTGCTGCACTGCACTGCTAGCCAATTTGTCAACAATTTTAATTTATAGCTGGTCGCCCAGTCCGGCTGTGTTTGTATGCCGTTTTTCGCGCGCGCATTCTTCAACTGGGCGACCAGACCTGTATATGGGTATGGCTAAATAAAGATGGAAACAAGTTTTTAAATATTTCAATGCCGAGTTGTTGCGTAGCGACCGAACCTGGCACATACCG